GAACCGTCCTGATAACCACTGCCACGTGGCTGTGTGAAGGCTTGCACTGCACTCAGATGACAACGCAGAGAAGGCCAGTGTGCAGTGCAATGTAGTGTAGATACCTAAGCCGGAGCGCAAGCTGTGGTTTCATTCCGCCCCAAAAAGACCTGCCAGGGATGAGCTCTACAAACTTCAAGCCCTGAAAAGCATTCGCTTGGTGAAGAAGTATAAGGACAAATCAGGCCAACAACGTGTTGTGCCTAGGCCCCATGAAAAGGATGGTGTGACAGTAGCGGTAGCTTTCCCAGTATCCATCCCTCCTTTCAACCCAGCCAAGGCTGGAACTCGACAGCTGAAATATTCGCAAGTATATCCTTGGGGCTTTGCTTTTACTGCGCCTTGGTTTGAGGAGGCCCTGGTCAGGTAATTTTTGATCTAAATAAAAAGCTCCAAATCGTTCTCAGAAAGCCGCTGACAACTCCATACTTGATTTGGGTGGTGTAGCGCAACTATAGTGTCGATAGGTGTGCCTGGTCCATGCATGCCAAACCGATAGCTATTGCCCAACCTGAACGACGCGTCTAAGCGCCCTCTTCCCTAGCGCATGGATCCGTTTCCCGCCGTGCGTCCGAGGTAGCTGGGCTCCACAACAAGTTCTTGCACCAGCAGCAGCTGATGTATCCTTCAAAGGTGATGGACGACCGGAATCTCAAGTTTATGGATGTCGACCCAAACTCTTCTGACTCAGACCTTGAGGATGTGGTAGCCCACAGCTCAATTTAAAACCAGAAGGAGGGGCATGACCCATTGACAATGTATACCCACCTAAAAACATGCTGAGAAGCTGCAGGATCCACAGTGTTTGTTTGGCAGCCCTTCTTCTGTTTTTGGTTTTCTCTCCTGCTGATTGGGGGTGGCTTGACTCAGTGCGCTCTGCAAGTCTTGGGGCTGTGTCTTTTGCCGCTCGAAGAATAACACAACTGGTTTGTATCTAGTGGCCCTGAGACACTGGGTGGCAGAGTGACATATAGAGGTCGGCGTCAGCTGATTATAGTGAGAAAAGTTTGCTCGCTGCACATGAGAAAATCCCCAGCTTCGAAGGACCGTTGAACATTTTGACTGCTCCTGCACCGATCCAGGCAGATGATGACTCAGCTTCTTCTTCTTCTCCTCGCCAGCGTGCCTCAAAGAGGCAGGCAGTGGGGATGGACCAGCGGCTGTCACAGAAGACGGAACTCGTTTCTGGTCATGGGTCGTTAACAAGAGTTAAGACTGCAGTTCATCAAATTATAGATCCACTTTGAATCTAAAGTGGCATATGGTAGTGCTCCTGTGGGTATATACCCGAAGAATTTCATTTTGTATAGTTTGTCACGGTCACTATTTGACACGCAGTTTTGTCACGGGTTGACATTTGTGCAACAAGAAACGTGACCGACTCAATATGGCAGCAGTTCATCACATATCTGCAAATTTGAATCTAAAGTGTCATATATGTCACGGGCACACTGTGTCACAGTGTATGTGAGGTATTTGACACGGTGTATGTGAGCGTTTGACACGCTGTTTGTCACGGTCTGACATGGTCTGACGGGGTTTGTCATGTATTGACACTGAACTTGGGAAGTTTTCATCAAAAAAGTCTCACCGTGTCAGACCGTGTCAAAGGACACATAGACCGTGTCATATGCGTGTCAGACCGTGTCACCCGACTGGTCCTTCTTTGTGAGCCATTTGGCTGCTCGACTTCAACGTGGATCGCTCTACAGCACTCTGAACGACATGGTCCCTCGTTGGAATTCATAGTCTTTATATTGTTTTCCTTCAACCTTAGTGACCTTTGCCTCCCACATTGGGCATTTGCAATAGTCCTTAAGTGGATCGTGGTCAAAAAGTCGATTTTAGGGTGACCCGCCATTGCTCGCTAAGGCTGGTGAAGCAAAGGCCAAAGGAAAAGGAAAGGCAGCCCATCTCAGCCACTAGTCTTGGTTGAGTTTGCCATGGTCATGTTGGAACGGTGGCTAGTGGGGTGTCCGGTTCCACGTAACCTGTATATATATATATATATAGTCGTTCTGCTTGGCGCACGAGGCGCTCTCTTGAAGCTGGCCCATTCAAAAGGAAAGGGGAAGGAAGCTGTTTGGAAGTGGATGAAGGGCAAAGGCAAGGGGAAGAAAGAGGAAGATCTGAAAGCGTCACTCACAGCTGAGAAGAGGAAGTTTGCAGCAAGAGCCACAGAGTTGCGACAGATGTGCATGGAGGAACTCCCAGCAGTCAAACGCACACCGAGAGGTTTACTAGCGATTGAAGCACCGCCGCCTGAGAAGCCCCAGAAGGGCCGGAAGAAGAAAGAGGAGGACAAGGAGCAAGAGGAGCGAGGTGAAGACTTCGATGAGCAAAGCAAGAAGAAGAAGCAAGAAGAGAACAAAGAAAAGGAGACTAAGGCAAGCAAGAAGAAGAAACAACAAGAGGACGAGGCTGAGGAAACAAAGAAAGCATGCAAGAAGAAGAAGAAGCAAGAAGAGGACGAGGCTGAGGAAACAAA